CTATGCCTAGGCATTGATGGTTATGCCCCAAAGTCTTGATTTGTCTAGAATCTGCTATGCCACGACACTATGCTGCAACATGAAAAGACGGTGATTTTAAGAAACATATGAATTGTAGCCTTTGAATCATATTTCTAATGGTCCAAGAATTGTCTCAATATGATGTCCACAACTCAAGATATTGTCAAAATACCAAAGCATGTTCAAACTGGAGCGTATTCCAAGATTTGCACTTCAACTTCAAAACGCCATAACTTTCTCATTGAGACTCTAACTCACAAACTGTTTGTTTTTGTCATAAAAAATTCTCTTGAAAACACGGTCTTGCATTCGAATATTATTCCTAAACTTTTATGCTCTGAAAACACAACAAAAATACATATGATCCCGAAAAGTGCATTTATGAACAATTAAGTTAATTCATGCAAATTAATCCTAATTTCCCACAAATACTCCCGATAAACCACTAAGTATAAGTGCATTTTCCAGCACTTATCCATGCATCTTATGATTATTCTATTTCATGACATGTTTGCTTTGTTTGATTGATTCAAATTGTGCTTTGTTCATAAGTTTGACAAACGGGGAGATTGTAAAGTCCTATTATCATGTTATGAACTTTCTGTGCATATTTGTTTAATATTAGCACAATCGTGAATTAATTTATTCGTTTGCACATGTTGTAATATCCTGTTAAATGTGCACACATTAGTTTGTTCACTTTGTTTGTGTTGAGCAAAATATGTGGGCACACTGTCTTTCTATGCAAACATTTCGTTGAACTGTGGCACTTTATTTCTTGTTTATCAAGTTTTTCTTTTGTGCATGATATTTGCATTTCTTTTCTACTTTACAAGTGGCGCCTGATTAAGAAAATGGTCCATTGCACTTTATTGAAAAGTGCTTCTCACGTGTACTAGAGAATGGGTGAAAAATGCGAGTGCTATTTAAGATCATCTTCTTCCTTGCATTTTTCCTTAGTCCTAATATTTTGAACTTCCATTGATGCTTTGAAACTTTTAGAGTACATTTTATTCAGGCTCTCTTTGTTTTTGATTTATCTTCACCAATCACTTTGTTTATCTTTGAGTATGGGAACTTGGTTCCTTTGTTTGTGAGTTTAAAGGGAGTTAAGCCAAGGAGTTGAAGGGAAGTTTCAACCATTGAAGCTTGAGGGGAGCTCAAGCTATCCTGGAGGATTCTTGGAGGAAGCTGATCGTGACAAAACCTTGAAGCAATCAAAGATGATGTTGGGTTATGGTTGAATAATACACGGAATATAAAACAAAATTTTTATTCAATTTAACCCACTAATCCCACGATCAAGATTGACATATGCAATCCATTTATAAAATAAAACAACCCATACAAGGTATGTTGTTATTACCTATGTTTGGAGGCTCCTTCGAGTATCTTTGATTTACTTTTTGCTAGTCGATTCAAGATGGAATCGCTCCTGAGAAGTCCACACAAGGGCAAGGAGGCTAATCCACAATCAAGGAAGTTTGCTAGAATCATTGGGCGCAAGAAGAGAGAACACGCAATTGAGAGAAAGACATTCTCTCTCAAAAGCTAATAGGCGGCTAGGGCTTTTGCTTGGGAGAAAATAATGAACTTATTGATCTAATTCTCCCATTCCTTTTCTTGTATAGTGGGGAATAAATATCCCCATTAAGAATAGGAATATTTCTATTCCTATTTTGGAATAGGATATTTCCCAATCAAATATGTATTCCTATTTTGCAATAGGATATATTTCCCAATCAAATATATATACCTATTTTGCAATAGGATGTTTCCCAATTCAAATATACATTCCTAATCAATAAATATGAATATTTATTTATCCATATATTTAATTAACGGGATATAAAATATATTTAATTATATAAAATATATTTATTCTATATATTTAATCCATATAAATATTAATTTAATATAATTACAACTTTGCTAATTAACTTTAATATAAATATTGAATGTTGGCAATGACCTTCAATGAATTTAATTACATAATAAAATTACCAAAGTACCCTTCTTGTCCAAAACACGAAATTACCCTTCATTTTCGTTCTTAATAAAACTGTCTTTAATGTGTGTGACCCGTTGGCTCTTTATTATGTTGGCAGTGACCAATTTTATAATTGAGCATCAACTAATTAGTGTTTCATACATCAATCAAGATTAGCATCTAGCAAGACATCATGATTACCTAGCAAGTAAAGATTTAGCGAAGTAGCTACCTTTCAATAGTATGGTTACCGTGTAATTCCAATCCTTTCATTATCATTTATCTTATTAAGGTTTGAAGTACAGAAGTAATGTCAACTTCAATGATTGTACCTTGATATGTTTATATTTAGTTGTTGAATCAACGACCATATAAATTGGATTCAAGTACTGACTTGATTCCACTATGGCCACAGATTTTGCGTTCATGGTTCCTAACTGAATATCTCAGCGAGATAATTTCTCCTGTAACCAATAGTAATGAATCCTTTATTGATCCACCATAGCCATAGCGTACTTCTCGATGTAACCAACAACCATCGTACTGATAACCCTAAATAGGATTACGTTATGCTAGTGTCAAATTACATCAATAATTACACATGATGCTCTGGTGATCTCAAGTCAAGGGATCACATGCACCACCATCTGTTGGAGGATATATTTCATAAACACTAGCATTAGCATCTTGTGTGGAATCCTCGTATGGGTTGGTCCAGTGACCTTGTCATTAACAAGCACCCATGCGCCGTACCAGGTTGTCACCTAACAACCTTGACATGTGAGAAATATCACTACATTTTGGTAGGGTCGTTCAATGCTTTAATAGTCTTACTGTATAATCTGTGTCCTTGGTCAGTCTAGTATTGAGGCTACTGACAGTTTTAGAATGGTCACCATATGTGATCATAGGTTTTATCTGAATCATGTATCTCCTTGTGTGCTTTATGTTTATGCTCTTGGTTGATTGATATTATTGTTGTTTTGTGATCATCGAGTAAGTTAGTTTAACAGCCATCCATAACCATTCCCATGTGCTTAAAAAGAGTTGATGAACTCTTTCAAGTTCATGTAAACCACTTGAGTTTTAATATAGATTTTTACAACAAAATAATTTCTTAATTTATCACTTTAATAGATTATTATCAAGAGAAATGTATTTATTACCGGAACTATATAGATGAATGGTAAACAACAAGAATCAATGACTAACTGCAACATTTTAACCAATCATTTATAATCTAATTATATTAAATAATTTACAAAGTATACTATTGTGTTAAACAAAATTATGATAGATAGATCTATCTACTAAGTTGTTTAGTATAGAGCTGGGCAAAACACCTGGGCCCAAGGACCGGCCCACACCCTAGGGAGGGGTGATCGGGCCCAGGTCGGTCTCTCCTCAAGGGCCCAGGCCCAATTTATTTCATAATACCCCTTACCAAATAACCAAACCCCCCCTGTAACATATGAAATACATAATAAATTTATAAAAGAAACCCATTTACATAATTATTATTACCCCCAAATATATAAAAAATTAGGGGGCTAAATAGATATTTACTAGGCTCGAGCCTGGGACTGGTCCGAACCCTCACAAAAGTGACAGGTCTAGGATCGGTCCTTGAGGGCCTGGGTGGCCCGGGCCCATCTTTGCCCACCTCTAGTTTAGTAGAACTCATTAAAAGATAGGAAAATTTTATGGTGCCTATAATCATCAAAGAGATGCTTGTCATTTACTTGTAGCATGCTATTATTATTTTTTTCTTCACCATCAACATATTGACACACTACTATAAATTTTAAAGTATTAAACGTAATGCTTAAATACAAAGCCAACTAAGGTTTAATTTGGGATTATTTTAGCTTGTCTCATAATCACTTAGGGTCTACTTTTAAAATAATTAACTTTAGAAATAACCTATTAAGGTGTTTGTTTTTCTTAATTTTAAAATCACTTTTAATTTTTTAGTGATGATATATCTATAATGTAAAAAGACCAACATGGTTACATTTTGAATTAGTTTTTTTTCTTCCAATTATTAAAATGTATTAAAATTAAATTCTTAAATAAAAAAGTTTTAAATTAAAAAAAAAAAAATTTAAAACTAGTTGACTGCCATCACTGATGAACCTGCCAGCTGGCGATCTATGTAATAGTACCGACGGTTTATCAAAATCCAAAGACTTTCTGGTTTGGTCAAAACTTTTGGTATTCTGTTGCTTAAAGCTGCCAGATTTCAACAAACCACTGGCACCATTTTGTAGTCGAAACTCGAAAGTATTGATCGATTTATGAATTTTGTGTTTTTAATATATTTTATTATTTTACTAATCTAATTTGAAAATTTATTTATACAAAATTAAAATTTATTTTTATTGTGGCATTTTTGTAATTGACTTTTCTAAAAGCTGATTTTGAACTCCAAAGCTGGAAATACTTGCTTTTGAAATCATTCAATAAAATAGATTGGAAGAAGTAGATTGTTCCATAGTCTCTTTTGAAATGTGTTTACCAAACAAATTTTAGCTCATTGCTTAAGAAACCAGTGATTATGGGAGAAACTAAAATAACGCAAAACTCACCCTAAATTAAAGTTTAGGTTAAACTAAACCGCAACTATTAATCTTTATAAATGTCAAAGAACTAGTTCATGTCATATGCCTCAAGATGAATAGTATTCTGTTTAGATTTACTAAATATTTCCTAAATATTTTAGGATCTTCTTATTTTGTCAGTTTTAGGATACTCATAATGTTCTTGATATCTCCTACTTATGTTTGTATATTGTAATTGATATAATTAGGAGATTCCGTAGATTATATCCTCCCTATATAAAGCCTATATGACATGACCCGCCTCTACCCTCCCTATCCCATAAGCTCCGAGCACACCTATGAGACTCGAGCGGCCGAGATGTGCCATGTGGGAATCTTAAAAAAAAAAAAACCTGTATTCTGAATACGCTTTTCATAAAAATATTCGCTTGGATTCGTTTTGAAAGCATAAACACATAAGATATATATACATACATTTGAAAATCTGAAAGCTAACTCGTACGTTCATAAAATCCAAAAATAGATGGTATCAGATCTTCATATCTTTTATAATCAACACAGGAGATAAACATAGGGATAAAACATAATTCTGTACCGGGAACAAGCATGACATTTTTACACATGGTGAGTCAATTACGTGTGGGCCCAACCTCGAGAGGAAAAACGCTCCTCAGCAGGACTCTTCTTGTGAACCTGGGGAAAAGGGTCTAAAAAGGGGTGAGCTGAAATACTCAGTGAGTGGGGGATTGGGGAGAGTTTACAAAACATTCTTCAAACAATAGTCATAGCATGCAATAGTTCTTATGAAATCCTGAAAACAACATGATTCTATGAACGTGTTATGAAAGTAACTAAATCATTTCTGCATGCATGTACAACTCATTTCTAATTGTTCTAAGTATTGTAATCTCATCATTTAAGCTGAAAACAAAATTTGAATTATAGCTCATCATTGAATGCTTAAAATTCTTTTTCTAGAAACTTAAAACATAACTGTAAATGCTTATGCTTCTGGGAACAATGTTTCCTATAAGTCATGCTGCAACCATCTATGTCATCACTCAAGAATGCATATGATTATGAAAATAATAACTCTAGTAGTCATGCTGCAAACATCCAAACCATCGTTCAATGAATACTCATGATTCACAAAACAAAATCTGGAAACTAAAATTATAACTATTGTGATGATATAAAATTGAAAGATGATTTTTCTGAAACTATGCATTGATAAATGATTTTGGAATACTATAAACTTTATGCAGACAACTGAACTTTAAACTGAATACAATAGCTTTTACTGATACTGAAAACTATAAGCTGATATCTTATTTTGAAACTGTGGCTAATACTGAAAGTTCTCTTAATTATTCTAAAAACTCATATTGAGACTATCGCTCATAGCAGATACTAAAAACTGAATGTGATTTTGAACATTCTAAAACTGATTCTGATATTAGTAATAGAAAACTCTCACCATAACTAGTACCCTCGAGGAAATCTGTCTTACTTGGTGGGTGTCCCGCACGCAAGCAGAGCAAGGGATGTACTTGTAATACTCGGCAAGATCTATCATCGCGCGGGTAGAGCCACTGAAACTTTCATACCTGGTGGACCACTCAACACCCAGGCAGAGCCAATAAAATATGTCATACCTATGTGTAGATCCAAAATCTGAAACTGTCATACCCAACGGAATCCTGCATCGCTCGGACAGAGCCAAAAATCTGAATCTCTGGGGAATGGGTACTTTGTAGGGTGGTTTGTAAGCCATTACTATACTTATTCTTAACCCAATACATTATATTTCTTCAAAACATAGGCCTTTATAAAATTATTAAAACATTATGAAATAATTTATGGTAGTGCATTCTGGGCTAAAATGTAAGTAAAGACAAGTAATGAAATAAACATGAGGGAGCCAAAAGAAGCTTTACACAATTATTAAATAAATCAACAATTCACGTGACAGGCACTTCCACAAAACTGGATGCATCATAGTTTCAAATACACCCTCAGTACTCTTAAGCTTAACACTTAAACCCTGACAAAATTGTAACATGTAATTATTAATTAAGGTTTGCACTCCATGTGAGTCTCATAGACATGAAAAGCAGTGGCTTGCATTTAATGCTTCAGACTCAATGCAACACACAAAAAGAATATCAATTTTCTATAGCCGTAATATTTGACTACTTGAACTTGTAGAAAATTATCAGATTATTCAGTTTTCTATGGAACCCCATATGTTCTTGAACTTTCAAAGCATCCCAACTTTACAAATATTTTTAGATCATGACTCCTAGTCCACTCTCAAACGTTCATCCTGCTAAGTAATTATTGTAAGGCAATTTCTTTAAAGCAAATGAAGTTTAGAACTTTGTCTCATATGAAGAAAATCTAATAAAAAAAACACCATCTCACTATTTTACATTAACGTTCAAACAACTTTTAGAAAAGGGAATAATATGTTAATGGAGCTATTCAATGCATTCTCTTTCAAATATTTGACCTAATATCAAACAAAGCAATTAATAAATTGTTTATAAACTTTTATCATTAACGCCCAATTGGAAATACCCGGCTTGCCTTTAACTAATAAGATATTTTGGTAAAACCTTTTAATCAACTTGATTAATATCAGGACACTTCCAACAGCAACATACATGTTCCATAAATACTTGAAATAAGGTTTTAAGAGTTCATCACATAAGGATTTATATCACAGTAAAGATCCAAAAATCTTTTCAAACAATAAGAAACAACTCAACTTCACCGAATGAACAACATTTCCAATTATTCAATTCAACATGATTTTTGAAGTAACTGAAAAACAGTAAGCTTAAGGTGACATGCAAGCTTTGAAACTCCATTCTTTTTTTTCTTTTTTTTAAAGAATTCTTTTATGCATTTTCCGCTCATGTAAAAACAATGCCGAGCATTCAATTTAAAGACAACTTCCATGAGTTTCAAACCAATAAACTAAAGTATAACATGCAATTCTTGATACAACACATTCAAATGCAATATAACTTCATGCATGTAACTTTCACACATTCAAACAATGACAAACTCAACAATTAACACCTCAATTCAACACAAGCTGTCAAACCCATTAAAATGATTATCTCAGTCAAAACACGCAAGCTAGAATTTTGAAGAAAGTTTTAGTTTTTGCCACTCACAAGTTTAAGCTCAACTCAAATTGGTGTGATCTCCTCAAAGTTACCTTCTTTTCCCCCTATTGAACCAAAATCAAGGAAATCAGCTTAGGAATCTCAAATTTGGAGAAATGTAACGAAAATTAGAGAGAAGACTACATGCATGTTACCCACGGATGAAAATTTAATTGGAACTAATGTTCTTCAACTCTCTCAATCGGCACATACCCACTCTCTCTATCTCACTTCTTTTCCTTCTCACCTTTCTTCTTTTTTCTTTGTCTTTGACCAAACCCCTTTTATTTTATTTTCTCTTCTCTCTCTTCTTTTCTTTCTTCTTTCTTCTCTCACAGTCTCCTTCTTCCTTCATCTGGGCGAAAATCACCCGCCCCCCTCCCCCCTCCTCTTTTTTATATTAAACTTTTAAAAACTAACCGAAATCCCCTTCCATAAAAATAAAATCACAAAGAATATGTAATATATATTAAGATTAAAAAAAACGGGGTTTCACACTATGTAATATATATTAAGATTAAAAAAAACGGGGTTTCACACTATAGCTATTACTGAAATAATCAATGAATTGAAACCTAAAATTCTTCGCTTAAAATATGGTATCAGAACCACTCTCTAATCTAAAAAATTACTCATTAGAGAAACCACCAAAAAAATCACCTACAATTAACCATCCATCCAATTGTCGTCAATCCAAATGGGAGACAAAACGACAACAATCAATCAAACCCATCCACCAAAATCATCCTGCCCATATCAAACCTGCCAAACCCACCAACCAAACCTCCAACTTCTGTCACCAGATACACCCTTCTGCAACCAATATTCAACCACCACTACCAAGATTCAATCAACCAAGCCTAGTAGTAACCATTCATCCTATCGTCAAACCAAGAAGGAGAACACCAACCTCAACCAATCAAACCAAACAAACCAAACAAACCACCATTTCCATTTCATCTAAAAAAAAAAAAAAAAAAAAGAAAAGCCATTCCCGATTGGAAGAAAACAATTCCAACCATCGTCAACTTTTCAACCTCTAGTCATTCTACAACATTTTTAGAAAATATCCAAATACATACCCAGAAATCTATCCCAATCAACCATCGCCTATCCACCAAATCAACCAACCTACCCAAATCAAGCACCAGAAATCAAACACCCAATAAATAACAAAACCAAACCTATTATTTTTTCTAGCAGAATCCAGCCGACACCGACACCGAAGTCCAAACATTGATGATCCCAAGCTGGTTATCCAAGCCAATACCGCCGACACTGTCGAAGTCTGAACGTTGCCAGCAGAAGCTCAAAGCTTGTAGTCGCTAGATAGAAAACCAATCGCAAGGCAAAACCAGATCGATGCCATAAGAAACCTGTCCGCCGTCACTACCGCTATTGTTCGCCGATGAAGAAACCCAGATTGAAGATCTGAACTGACGCCAAAGCCCAGAAGAGCACTCCAATGAAACATCGTTGATCTGCCTTCAACAACTCCGATTTTTCGTCGCCACTCTTCATCATTTGGTGTTAATTGGTTAATTTTACTTAATTTTTATATCTTTTTTGTTTTTTAGAATCACGGGTATGTTTTATGATCAGGTATTTAGGTGCTGAAAAAATAGGATTTCAAGTATTGACATTGAAGAGGAAATAATCATAATCGTGTAAGAATAAACGATTCGAGAATCGGAGCTCAAATGAAGAAGTTATGAATTTGTAAAGATTGTTTGCTGCAGCAGAACTATTCCTACTCCACAGCGGAACTATTCCTATGCCGCAGCATAAAATTGCAAAACGGACAAAAACTTCATGCTGCAGTGCTACTAAATCACGCTGGGGCGCACTTCGCGAATTTTATGCTTGGGAGTTTTTCTGCCAGAACGTGCTGCATTAAAATGGGCATAACTTGAGTTACACAACTCCAATAGACTTGATTCTAGTGGAGTTTTAAAGATGAGAAATAAGGCTAAAACTTTCATGTTTTGATCAGGATCCAGTTAGACTTGGAGAATGGTTAAAAATAGAGACAAAAGTTACATTAGTGCCTGGAAGACAAGCAGGCGTAGGTTCTGGAACATGCTTTAGTCTATCTACAATAACTTGAGCTGTAGACCTTAGATTTGGATTATTATTGAAGTTTTGGAAAGATTATTTTAAGATATACAATTAATATGTTCAAAAATTTTCCAGATTCAGAAGCTATCGTGTTCTATTTTGGAGACCCTTGCGTAGCTTGTTTGAAGGAATCTTAATTTCATTAGGAATCTCTTATTCTATTTCGCCTAGAATTGAATTTTATTCTTCTATTCTGTCTAGGATTTTACCCCTTACTTTCCCACAATCCTAGCACTATAAAGGATGTCTTTAGGTATTTTTAGGGGAGGACTTTTACTTCAACTTGGAGAGAATTGGAGGCAATGAGAAGAGATCTACCTAGAGTTTCATCTTTTTCTCTTTTGCTTCATGCTTTTGAAGGGTTTGAGGTTTGATTTCCTTATGATAATATGTAACTAAATACTTTTCTAGAGATCCAATGCAGCCTAATAAGAAGGTTTTATGTCTTTATTAATTCTATTTGTTTTATCAATCCATTCCAATTCTAGATTTATTTATTGTCCTTTATTCAATCTTTAATTGATGTTATTGTTTGATCACCTTTAATATTAATTAATTGATTGTGTGAGACAAGGTTAGACTACACACCGTAGCTAATCTTAATTAGCTCATGTGAATGAATGATTAGTATTTTGTGCATATGCTCTCACAGAATGCGAATTGGTTCATGATTTTTTGAATGATTAGTATTTGTGCATACGTCCTGACAACTGAGCTTTTATTCATGATTTCGAGTGCTCTCGTGTTTAATGGGTTTTTAATCATTAGGCTAGGCTATACACCCTAGCTAGTTTAGTGTTAAAAATACTAAGTTAATCCCGAACGCCTTACGGTAATACCTTAATTATGTGAATGCGAACCCTAGAAATTGGATTGAGATAACAATAGTTTGATAGTTGACATAAAACTATATTATTATGGTGAAATTGGATACCTAGGTTTTAGTTAATTGGTTTTTAAATCAATTTAGTATTAATTCTCTGTCAATTTGTTTAGTATTAGTTATTTTTACTTTAAGTTGGTTACCTCATCAATTCTTTTGATTTATTTAAGTTTATTTGTTTTAATTAAGGCATAGTTTATTAGGATTAATTGAGTGCTTACAAATCTCTGTGGGATCGACCCTAGCATGTGCACACTATATTATAGTTGTGATTCGTATACTTGCGAGGATTAAAATTGTTCATCAATCATCAAAAGACGCCGGAGTCTTCCATTTTTCTTTTCAACTAGGTGGCGAGAGGAGACGCCAGTGATATTGTGAGAAGAAGTGTTTCAACTCTTCTCCTAATTTGCTTTCTTTTATTATCCTTAAGTTAAAAAAAGAAAAAAAAAAAGTTAAAAAAAAAAATGGAAATCGGTGTACTCACTGCAACAAACCTGGTCATTCCAAAAGCCAATGTTTTGAATTGGTAGAATATCCAAACCGGTGGGATCACAATCGTGATCCAAGGAAGAATTCAAAGAGAAGTTCTACTGATGTTGTTATGGAAGAAGATGTCAAATAATCCTCAAAACATTCTACCATGTTACAACATGCTATAATAATAGATTACTCTAAAAGGGATAAACAGAAATATGACATTTGGTTATAGCATCGACATCTAGGTCATGTTTTGTTTGGTTACTTGAAGAAACTTTTTCTAAGTTTGTTTGAAAAAAATGATATTAGTAACTTCCAATGTGATGTTTGTGAACTGTCCAAAAGTCATTGGGCCTCCTTTCCAATAAAATTAAACAAAAGTCTAAGTCCTTTTATGCGTATACACTTTGATGTCTGGGGGCTATCATAAGTTACTACTTTAGGGAGATCTTGTTGGTTTGTTACTTTTATTGATGATTATACGAGAATGACTTGAGTATGTCTAATGAAATCCAAAGGGGAGGCTAATTCAGTATTTCAAAGATTTCACAAATTGATTGGCACTCAGTATAGTGCACAAGTTCATGTTATCTGAAGTGACAATGGTGGAGAATATCAAAGTTTTGATCTTCAACAATACTTGACTGCCCATGGTATTATTTATCAAACTACTTGTCCCAACACACCTTAACAAAATGGTATTGTTGAGCGGAAAAATCAGCACTTATTGGAGGTTGTTTGTGCTTCCTTAATAGAAGCTCACATGCTATTATCTTTTTGGGGAGAAGCAATTGTTCTACACAAAAGCAATAGTAGAATGATAGCAAAAATATGAAGAAAATAGGCTGCCATTTGTCTACAACATCGTTGAATGAACAGTGCAATTTATACAAGTAAATGCAACAGAAAAAACATGAAAAAAGCCTAAACAAATGCTGCACATTTACATGAAAAGCAACTAACAAACTTAATGCCTAATTTCTAGCAACAACTAGTTTGACAGCTTCAAAACTTGACTTATTCAACAACAACTGAAACACCTATTTTTCAGCTGCTACCTCATCAATCTATTCAGCACTTCCAAGTTAGAAACACTTCTGCAACATCTTGAGACACATGTTCAACACTCATCAACCAAATACCCTCTAGCTCAATTGAGTTCCAAACACCATTACAGGCTCTTGGTAAAGAAATGGAGGCTTTGGCAGTCACGAACTTACCACCTCATGTTTTTGATGTGTTGCATTTGTACACCTTCATAAACATCAACGCAGCAAGTTGCCTCCTCGGGCATTGAAATGTGTTTTTATTGGGTATGGTATTCATCAAAAGGGGCATCATTGTTACCATCCTTTAACTCAAGAAATGTTTGTGACGATGGATGTTGTTTTCCATGAAGAATTGTTGTACTTTTCTTTTGAGTCTAAACTTTAGGGGGAGTATTGTCAAGAAGAAATTCAAACTCTTGACTATGTTGTTCAAGACGTGGAAGACCATGATTAAAAAAATAGACCTGTTGATCGACAAGAAGATGAAGTGGATAATAAAAATATGGAGGTAGTTCCAAATTCGTATGAAGAATCTTCACCTCAGTCCGAGTCCCTCATACCTGATATGCCACAACCATCTCTTGTTGAGAATGTTCTTGATTTGGAGTCTAAACCAATTGAGTATGAACTAATTAGAAAACAGTTACCTTCATGTAGTACTAGAGGGATTCCTAAACCAACATATGAACCTAAACTATCTAGTAAGGTTAAATGCCCTATGAGTCACTTTGTGTCTAACCATCA